TACACAAGCTTTAATTCCATGCCCGCTCTAAGACATTTACTTTCTCACTGAGTGACCCTGAAATTAGGTGAGCTCAGAACAACTAAAATCTAAGAAGGGGAAAGACAACGGCTGGACACGTTTTTAGTTGAGTTTCCATGGTATAAAATGCTTTATTTGGTGCACAGATCATAATTTAAAAACATTTCAAGTATTTCATAGGTCAGTAAGTGACAACTGTCTCTACCTACCTCTGTAGGTAGAGAAAGCAGAGATGTAATATAACTTTACCAACTTTTACAGGTTGCCATTTGCCCAGCACGTGTGATCTTTATCACAAGCAAATACCACATACAAAATTCCCACCAATTTCAACAGAAACTACATCAGTCTTACTCTGAATTTATACAGGCTTAAAGGGAAAAGGAAGAAGGTTTTTCCAGCACATACATTTAACATTTCCAGTTTGGCCTAGTGGCTCCCAAGACATATCCATGATATACTCCAATCTTTCTCAGGACCACATGAAATTACTGCTTCTCCAATCCCTTCTGACACAGGGGGCAAACAATGGCCAGAAATACATTGCTTCTTCAGTATTAGCCACCAAAGATTGCTAAGAATTGCCTTAGGACATTTATGCGAAAGAGATTTAATAAAGCTAATTTTTAGCAAAATTCTAGGCATTGTTTCCAGCTGATGTAAGTAAAGAATCACATCTAAGCCTCTTCTGCCAACAGCATACAGAAATACATTGTTAGAAAGGTACAAACACCAGGAATAGGGAATTTTGAATTAAGCTCCCAATTACCATATAGAGCACAGTAAACATCTGACCTCTTGGTTTCAGACTCTGAATCATAAAATCTTCCTCTTTTTATACTTCCCCTTATGAGCCCTGGCAGAGACAAGACATTAGGCTAGAAAGCCCTTTGGCTGATACAGAAGAGGCATTTAATGCTCCTTGATGTACTTGTTATTATAAATAGTTGTACTTCCACAGCAGATAAGGCTCTTTACACACAGTAAGTATTACTCAAATGATTCCAACGGGAGAACAGACACAGTAAATTTACTTCCACATCTGATACCTCAAGCTAAGTCAGATGTTTGAGAGGCATGCTATACTACAAGGCCCTGAACTACCTACCACTCACTATAAGTTACTGCCTCCATTCCAGAACAGGGCCAATGCTTACAACCATGTTTGGCGGGTTCAGTTAATATTTGTAAATCTCTTTAATGTGCTACTGAGAAAATGTTTATTCTTGTATGTTTCTCTGCTAGACCAAATGATAGTATCACAATCTCTAAATGTAATTATTTTTGTAAAGTCTACTGTCTTTCCCCTACACTTAGAGCACAGTTACTCACACAAGCAACCTTCCTGTATTTACATAGGAACTCAAGATAAATTTTTGAATAAGAAAAAAAAACAGAGAAACCATTTGCAAAGCTCCAGTGCCCTAGAGAACATATGCATCACAGTGTAATAACCCCAGATACCAGTACATGCTGGGGACCAACAATCAGAAAAGCAGCTTTGCAGAAAAGGACGTAGAGTCCTTGTAGATACAAAGGTTACCATGAGTCAGCAGTGTGCCCTGTGGGGGGGGGGGGGGAAGCTACCCACGTCCTGCGCTGCAGTAGGAAGTGTTTCCAGCGGGTTGGGGTAGGTGACCTTGCACTCCACTCTGCACCGGTGAGGCCACCCAGTACAAGAGACACATGGACATACTGGAGAGGCACAAAGATGACTATGAGACTGGAGCACCTCTCCTATTAGGAAAGGCTGAGAGAGCTGGGACTGTTCAGCCTGGAGAAGCGAAGCCTCAGAGAGATCTTATAAATGTATATAAATACCTGATGGGAGGGTGCAAAGGGGACAGAGCCTTATGTACTAATCACTTGCACCCATCTACCCCGTTTAATTCTTCCTGAAGTTTGGAATTACCTACTTGACCTTGTCCATCAGCTGAACTTTCTCTTATGAAAAACCATTCTTCCAACATGACTTGAAACAATAACATGCACAAACCCTTTCTTGGTTTCACTTTGTATTTCTTGCTATTTCACAGGACAGCAGTGCTTTGATGACAATATTATCTAGAGGAACAATGATTAAGCAAGAAGTTTCCATCAGAAATTCTAAAAAATCTTTACTAGAAACAGTGTTACTGATTTTAGTTTATTTTTTATCACATTCAATGGTAAGAGGACTAGGGCACTTAAAAGAAACTGGGATATTAACTAGATTGTTTCATTGGTCTAGCAGCAAGCAATGTTTCCTCAGTATGAGGACAGACAAGGCTTTTGGAGGAATCATCTTTCAGCGCTGGAAAACTTACTGACTTTGAACAATTCATTTGTTCTAGCGGAATCAATGTAAGGATATTCATGTCTGAACTGATTATAATAATTACAGTTCAACACAGAGTATCTCTCCCATTTCAACCTCGTATTTTTAAAATTCAAGCTAGATAAGTTGGTTTTTTGTTTGGTTTTTTTTTTTGGTTTTTTTAAGTGAGTGACAGTGCAACTTTCATGCACCTAACTCCATTTAAAAAAAAAAAAAAGAATGGCAACAAACAAAATTAAGCACAGCATACACTAAGGCTTTCCCAACACCCCTGACTTAAGTGACAGAAGTAAAACTTGTCATTTTGGGGAGGTCTTTTGGTTGGCAACTACTCTTTAGAAGTTTCAGACATTAACAGCAGAAACTTCACTTACTCTAGCAAGTCATCTTCTTGCTGGAAAATTAATACACCTTCTTGGATGAGACAATTTTACACCCATCCCACTGTACAAAATGTTGGCACAATGCCATTACTGCAGACAAAGCACATCAGAACAGGCTTGGTAGCCCTTAGATTTCACAAAGTCTTTGCTGAACAAGATTCATCAATAAAATAATTTTATACCACACAAGCTTGTTGCCATCTACACTAAATTAACTTCGCTTCAGATCATTGCAAGCCATAAAACATAGTGGGTAACTCAGGGCACTCTTTCTGACAGCGGTTATGCAGTTTCACCAGTTAAAACAAAGGACTGAAGACACCAAAGGAATTTTATTTGCTGGTAATACTCAAATTGAGGCTTCGCCACACACACAAACACAGGCTTACAATAAAATAATAATCTGAATCATGATATGATATTTGCTGTCAGCCTACAAGGTCAAAATTTAGAAGTTACTTATTTTGTGGCCTGTGGGAAAATACTGATGTAGCAGTAAACGACTTAAGTATGAATGATAAACACCTGTTTTGATAACAAGCAACCAGTCTGAATTGAATTACACTTGGAACTGAACAAACAGACACCTCTCTCTCCTTCTCTTTTTCCCCCCCCAGTTATACAAATACAACTCAATGCTCCCTTAGGCATCTTTCCAGCTTTAATTACATAAATGGGTGAAGTTGCAAAAAAAAAAGTACTGATTAAGTTCTCAGAATCTTAAGTTTAACTTTGAATACCCTAAATATTAGAAATACTTTTGTAATTAAATCTGTAATACCTATGAATTTTGCCTCTCTGCAATACAAACAAAAATCTTTACAGACAGACTGGCTTTAGTCACAATACTGTGAGTTAGGAATTGTCTGAATTCATTCATAGAACAAATTCTTTTTCCCTAGGTAAAGACTTCCGATATGCTTACTGCAACTTTTGATATGCTTACTGCAGTAATGGGAAGTGCCTTTTTTCTCCACGTACTAAACTTCAAGTTATATAGCATACAGCTGTAAACAGCAGATTGTAAATTTCATACATGAACAGTATGCTTCATTTAGTGGAAAAAAAAAAAAGAAAGGTAAATATTCACAGCAATTGTATTTACTGCTAGCCATATCATTACAAGAAAAATTTAGTCTACTTAGAATTAAAATTGGAGACAAAACCCACAACTACAGTTCATTAGAGACATTCTACATTAGAGTGCACAAATTGCAGTACTGTATGAAAGCATAATCAGAGGTTCTTTCACTTCTTGATAAAGGATGATTTTATATATTATATTCTGTTTACTTTAAATTTAAGCAGAACACCACAAATTTAGTGGAAACTAAAATAGGATAAATTAAAGCATATTACTAAAAAGAAATTTAAAAGAGTGTAGAAACAAGAAAAAAGGGTAGTAGAAGAAAAGCCAAGTATTACAATTATCTCAAAGTTCTCTACAGCCTCAACTTTATAGTCCTTTCTCCTGTCACCACGAAGTTGTTGCTGTTCATCTTCAGACAAATTTCTGATTCTGAGCATACTGAAAATACATGCAATGGTAATGTAATAGTACAAGACTCCAGGCTAGAGCAAGCTATAAAGCGCACTCCACATAGAGGTAATGTGCTCGGATGATTTAAAATGTCATAACCTCAGACTGAGTTTTACTAAGGCTTTTGGTTATAAGATGTGCTCCACATTCACATCGCTGCAACACACATAATCACTGTTAGCTTTTTAGCTTTGAGCTATTCATTAGAGGCTATGAGGTTCTGAAGACCAGCAACAGCAGACCAGAACTGGCTATTGAACTTGGAAGCACACACATATAAACAGACACCACCACTGAAGAAAGAAATGCCTCCTACTCTGAATTAGCCCTATATAACCATGATTTTCAGCCAAGTATATTAAGGTAACATAATTCCAAGATGCTCTTAAGCTTCAAAGGAAGAAATTCTTATGATGGCAAGTACCTGTAGATCTGTGAAACACTTCATGCCATCGCCTTAACGAGAAGCAATCTAAACTACAAAAAGCAACAGCAAATAGTCCACAATTTCATTCTCTGCCAAAGTCATCCTTTACACTTCCTTTGAAGTTCCAGTGAAAGTCAAACTTTAACTGTCCCCAGAATAAGGAACACTACACATGACCTGGCATAAAAGGCTGTGGTTCCATGAAGAGTACCTGGACGTGCAAATGCCTGGATCACTCAGCAAGAGTCATCTGATCCATAGACTGATCACATCCCTCTGTCAAATCACCATAAACATGTAATATCATGCCTATAGCAGTTCTGTGGCTCTATGCTGGAACACAGACACTGGAACAGGTTGCCCAGAGAAGTTGTGGATGCCCCCTCCCTGGAAGTGTTCAAGGCCAGGTTGGATGAGGCTTTGTGCAGCCTGATCTAATGGAAGGTGTCCCTGCTCATGGCAGGGGGGTTGGAACTGGATGATCTTTAAGGTCCCTTCCAACCCAAACCATTCTATGATTCTATGCTGGCTGTGTGTCAGGGTGCTGTGAAGCCCTCCCATCAATCTCATGTTAAAAGCCCTAGAAACAAGCCCTAGTACATCACAACACCATGACCTAAGTTATCTTGAACAAGGCCATCTGGGTTCGGTTCTTACCCTCCAAAATGTCTTCATAAAGTGCATGTACTCCTTCTGGCACAATGACAGCCAAGGCAGTTCCACATAGTAGCCCAGCACCCAGAACAGTCACCAACTTCAATCTCTCCTGCAAACAAATACAAAACAAGTATTACCTTTAAGAATTAAAATGTTTTACGTTTTCTTTACTCTCCCTCATTAACAGAGGTTGGGGCAGAGGGAAGGGTGCATGGGGTAGGGAGGCAGCAGGACAGCAAATGATCAACAAAACCTCTTACTAATTTTTATTCAAAAGCTCCAGTCGCATAGTCCCGTATTTCTAACAATTAACTTTCTGAAAAGTGAACATACCCAGTGTCTGATGCAATCAACTCAAGTAGGAAATGAAAGTCAAAAATGACCCACTTGACTGTTAACATCAGACAAGAAATTAAATGTAGCATACCTGAAAAGAGCAAGAATTGCTATATTTGGCACTAATGATTATTGGGGTCTAATTGACCCTCTAGGGCCTCAAAATGTTAGGTCTGCAGAGATAAAGAGAGATTGAAAGTGCACAGATTTTGAAGCATGTCTGCAACTCTATGTTTTATCTCCATTTTGGGTTTGTTTTCAAATATATCCTTCCTACTAGAAACCACACTTAAACATGCAAGTTCCCTAAAATCTCTGCTAGTTGTGGCACAGTACAAGATAGAACTGCCTATTTCCCAAAAAAGCCAACCTAAATAATAAAAGAAAATACAAGAAAGAAAACTAAATTACCAAAGCAGAAAGACAAGAGAAATAATAATAATGTAATTATACCTGCAGATACAAATACATTGGTCAAGTATGACTGTAAACTGCTGTCAGCTATAGTCATGTAACACAGAAAGGGCTAAGAAAAGTTTTATCACTACAGAAAGAGGAAAGGAAGATTTTAGAGAAAAAAGCAGCAGGAGATCTACTTTCACCTACAGGTTTAGAGAGACAAAAGAAATGAAGTTAAACTGCTACAAGACTGTTACATGATAGATGAACTATATTTCAGTTTCTAAACCTATGCAGAAGCTTGTCCTTAAAACTGCCGTACTTTAACGGCCTTCTATTTCATAGAGTATCACTGAAGAACAGACTTTCTCTAAAAACATAAAACTGTGGATAAAACAGTAATTTAAGAGAAAGATACTTTTTTGTACTTGAAAGATCTGACAATGTGTATATATTAGGAAAAAAAAAAGGCGTCAGGTGCAGTTTTAGAACTGCAATATCACAGCACTTGCAGAAAGTCAGGAAGTTACAAAATACAGCAGAAGGGACTAAATCCCCAAAATAGCTCCAAGACCTGAATCATAAAAAAAAAAAAATAAATTAAAAGCCTTACTCAAATGAGAGTGAATGAGGGAACTGCATCAGTCAAACTGATAATGGTGATAACATGCATTTCATGTCAGTCTTTTCTTCTTTTTAATTTAATTAGGAGATGCATAAATGCAGACTACTGCTTATTGCTTTACAACAATTTCTAAGCCTTCCAGTAGCATTTTAAAGGAATTAAAGACTTAAAGGGATTTATAGTAATAGAAATCATAGTCCTCTCTCCAGGTAATTACAGACCATGGCAATCCCCTTTCCCCTCTGCTAAGATATAGAACAAATCTATTTTAAAACCTAAGTATTACAAATCTGCAATTAAACTTTAACAAAAAATACATAAACCTAATGTTTTTTATAGTATAGTGAAGAAAAATTGTTTAGTTCATATTCCAGGAAGAATTTCTACAAGATTAAAAAACCACAGAATGGTAGGGGTCGGAAGGGATCTCAGGAGATCATCTAGTCCAACCCCCCTGCCAAAGCAGGTTCCCCTAGGGCAGGTTGCACAGGAAAGTGTCCAGGCGGGTTTTGAACATCTCCAGAGAAAAAGACTCCACAGAAAGACTTTATAAGTACTTGCTACTATCGTGTTAGGTTATTTTCCTAGTTATATTCTAATTTTGGACAAAAAGCTTAGAGAGATCAGTCCTCCCTCACTCCTCGCAAACTGACTTGTTTTACAGTTTTTGTACATAAGAACAGTTTACCATTGCTTTTTGCTTCCCTGTGAATACAACACTGACAGGCTAAAGTCAAAGTCACATCCTGAAAATCCAGTTATATAAACATCTAATAGACTCGCAAATATGACAACTTGCAGAGGTCACCTCTCATCACCTCCGCAATAGTCCCTATGATATCACAGGCAGCCACCATGGGAGTTTAGATCCTCATAACTGTGTAGCATACATTTTGTGGCAGAACCATCATCTTCTTCCATGCACAAGAGATGTCTAGGTGCTACCAAAATATTAACTACTGAGGACCTGGAGACAGAGGTCAGTGTTCAACCTAACGGGAAACCACTTTCCACATCTCCTGATCATGCTATCTGTTCTTCATGCAGCACAGTGACACATGTTGTTTAATCTCACTGAAACAGGCAACACTTGCAGAGAAGAAATAAGAGGCTCTACAGAAATGCAAAACTAGCTTTCTGAAAGCAAGCCAAATGTGGCCATACGGAAACAGTTAGAGTATTACTGGGGAAAATTCAAACAGGAAGATGCAAGAGATGAAAACACCTGTAAAGGTCCCACAAACATGCACTGATACACTGGCACATATAACAATTATACTTGGTAAATTTTTATACAGTGGCAATCTACAACAATATAATAGAATATAATCTTCAACATCCACTGTTCATAAAGTTATTTTGAAAAAATATAGTATCTTACAAGGAAAAACAAGATTATTTTTATATTGCAGCCCTATAATCTATTTTACATACATATATAAACATAGGGGAAAAAAGTGCCAGAAGTAATACTGTTTTTTTACAACTGCAAATATAGAATACTACTTGCTTTTATTTGGGCATCTGTGAATTTTAAAGAACCATGAAAACAATACACACTAATAATTTACCATTTCAAGAGAAGTCTCCATCTCCTTTTCAGTAAAAAATACTTAAGACATAGTGAATACAGCAATCCAATAATTGCAGTCTAGTTGGATCCAATAAATCAAATCATTTCAGTTATAAAAACACTTCTGTGCCTCTTGCTATAAATAAGAGCAACACAGTAAACAGTGTTAAAAAAATGCACAGGAAAAATCTTAAATTCCTCAAATGAGCAAGCTGTTCCACAGCTCAGTATTTGGTTTAAATCTGCAAGGTACTGAAACTCTTACTTGGACATTGCAAAAACTCACACCTATGTTCAGCAGCAAGCAGTCCCACTCCAGTCAACACTGCCTGCCTCTGTTACACCAGCAAAAGATTCACATTGATAGAACTCTTTTTTTTCTTTTTTGCATTTAGGACAGAACTTGGGAGATAGCATCAAGAACTGTCACAGTGTTGTTTCCAGACCAAAGTTAACCCAACAGAGTACCGTAAATCAGGATTTAGCTCAAAGGGTACATCTGTGTACAGAAATAACTGAAGCTCTGTTCAGTCTGTACCTTTTTACCACTAATGTTTAGGGATACCTGGCTTTGCTGGAGTTTTACACTTTCAAGGATATCCAAGTCTAATTAAAAGAATATAAACTAGTACGAAATTAGAACATAACCAATAGGTTCCAGAGCAAAAAAACTCATCTGAAGAAATGTTTTAACACTAATGAATAATTATACTGTTCTCCAGCATCTGGGGTATATTATCTAAAGCATTCATTTTTGTTTTCTAACCATTTTAAGCAGCCAGTGGGAGGAGGCATTTTTCCTCACCAAGGCCATCTACAAAACTCTTTGCAAATGACAAAATGCACAGTCCAGTCATTTCAGTTTGAAACTGTCCATGTTGCAGAGGCCTAAGCAATAATCTTTATACAAAACAATTCTAACCTCTAATTACACACTTCTGGGATTAGCTAGCACTTGCACATAACTTGCAGAGAGATTCAGCTCCTCTTTTAAACCAGCATAGCACATGGATCCTTAAAATTTCTAATTTGAGTGTAAAACTGAATCTAGAACTTCTGAGCATTTAAGACAGCACAATAAACTTGACTGCACATGTGTGTAACACTGGTGAAATACTGCACACACAAAAGGCTAATACACATGTGATCGCTGCTCATGCAGAGCGTTACATTTCTGGATCCACAGCTGCTGTTGGGTTTAGGAGCCCCCTGATTCAGCTATATAAATAAACCACATAAACACAGATCAAGAACTCTACCTTCAAACAACACCAAATATAGAGTCAGAAGCAACAGGTGACTATCAAGCACATACATGAGAAAATGTAAAATTAAGTAAAAAAGAGACAATGTTAGCATGCTACACAGGGTTCTCAGCAAATCTGCAAGAAAATCCTTTGTAGGTTTCAGGGCAAAAGTGAGTTTTGAAGTGTGAGACAGTGGAAGCAACAGCACTGAAGATGTATAAGGGAAGGTCTACAAAAGCATCAGACTAAGCACTGGCAAAACAGAACTATGCTAATGTTTATTGAAATACTTCAGAATATATAGTCATGTTTCAGTCCACTGAGCTGAACTGTACTATTACCAAAATGAACAGTCTTTCCTTCCACACTGTGAAGAGCCTACTGCTCCCAAAGCCTCCTGGTAATAATGGGACCAAAGGACAGGAGCAACCAGCCCTGTGTCTTGATGGAAGAAAAAGTCACATCTCTACTCCAGCTTTTCCCTTTCCAAAATCAACACTGCTTCCAATAGAAATGGGAAGCCTCTCATAAGAGGGCTCTTAGTAGCTTAGAACAACTAAACTCTCACTACACCATATCTGTATAAAACAATTATAATTTAGAAACAGAAAAAACCCTCAGGCATCAGAGGATATTAGATTTCCAGACACTGTAACAGTTGTCATCACCTCAACAACCACCTCTTAGAAACACACAAACACAATCACTTCTGAACTCCTGTGCTGCTTGGAAACTCATTCAACCTCTGAAAGTCTCCCTCTACTGTAACACCACCTTACACAGCCAAGTTATTTTTTCCAAAAGAATGCCCTGAGTTCCACAGGACAGTAACATAACTTGAAGTTGTGTTGTAATCAAAGAGCTAAGGTTTCATTTTCAGCAGCACAAGCTGTGAACAAAACTGTGGACCAAAACAAAGTTTTCTGAGAACCTTCTTGTTCTCAGAAATTGGTTTTGTTCTCATGAATTGTTTCTAATAAGCCCTAATTTGAGTAGCCCATAGACACACAACAGTTAACCTCTGACTTCATCAGTTTCTGACACAAGCTTCTAAGAATAACCGTTTCCAGCTATCACATCTTTCCACTACATGCCGAGACTTTGCTTCATCTGTAGCCAAAATGCCTGGATCAAATTCGGCCCATTTAAATGCCTTTTCTACACAGTACAGAATAAGCATAATTTTACACTGATTTTTGAATGAAAATCAATATACCATTCACAATTTCCTTAAAAAAATTTTTTAAAGTTACCACATCATCCCTAACAGCACTGCCATACTCGAAAGTGGACAGCACTAACTCCTCCTGGTAGATCTCTCCATCTAGCTTCTGCTTTTCTTCCTTAGCAACCAACGAGCAGTTTGGCGAAGCTGGCTTACCTCGGAAAAATTAACTGCCAAGGGGATAATTCCTGCCACATAGCAGGCGACCAGCATAGCCAGAGACAGCAGGCAGATGGAGCGGAAGTCATCCATTTCGCTGCTTTCTGTCCGGTCCCTTAAAGTGAAATTCAACAGCAACTTTTCCACCTCGCCCCGCACGCCTTAG